TGTCGGAAGTGCAGCGGCCGAGTTTTCAGTAAAGGTTCTGGATAGGAAGGCATGGAAGCTATCGGTGGTCAACTTAGCGTCAACCACGGGGTTTCCTACGGCGTCTAGACGTATGGGATGTTGCGCTTAATTCAGCGCTTTGACTGTGTGCGAAAAGTTTCCCTATATTTAAGGTTGGGTTTTTAGCAAAATTTGCCTCACCAGCCATCCACTTTTCTTTGGAGAGCTTCATAGTTTGCTCAAAGATCATATTGATCAAGTGCAGAACGAAAACATCCTTCTGTTGATGCAAACGACGAGAGAGGCTACGCAGCCTACAGCGGAAAGACAGACGAAATTACACTTCATCCTTGACATGCATTATTTTCGCACGGGCACAACATGGGAGATGCGGACTCCAGCACTTTGTACAGTGTATCGGTACAATACATTTACATTCAAACATTGGAATAAGTCAGATCAGAATAGGGAATTTAGATATTTCAGTAATTCCGCCGTACTTTATGATCGGAAATCATGAAAAAACCATATTTTTGGGAAAATGCTTCATCCGCCCCCAGTTCTAGTGTAGAAACAACTGCGAAGTGCGTCTAAGGATGACACTGACAGTGGTGCACACCATCAACAGAAAATCAGTTCCAGTATGTTTATTCATCGGATGGGAAAATCGACTACCACCTCAAGTAAGTTCTCAAAATTAGGACGACATGTGGTTGAAAAACATTGCACTTCAGAAAGATTGAAATCACCTGCAATCAGGCAGTACTTAAGATTTAAGTCGGCTGCGACGTGAAATACCTACCGGAGACAAAGTTCGTAGTCCCCAATGGCATTGGCAGGGTGATCCACACAGCCAACTAGTAAGAAGCAGTTGTCCTTTAGAACAACCCGCAGCCAGATGCTCTCCTCCATGGCCGAAAATTGTGAATATTCCAAAGGCAGAAATGTATGTGGTTGCTTTACATCGATGCAGCTTCATCTGCCACGGCCACTGTTACGATCATTCTGAATGAAAATGTAGCCTAGTATAGGGTGTTGGAAGTCCGCCACACAGGGCGGTGCGAGTGTCTCTTTTACCATACCAATGTCCAGGCGGTGGACGAAGACAAAACTTTAGAGCAGAGGCATCTTATTAAGCAGAGTTTTGGCCTTTCAAACGATAATTTAAAGGAGGCACCTATTTGTTTTCTGTGACGGGCGACCTAGGCAATAATTGCTTGATGTGTCTTCTAAAGCCAAACTCGCATTGAGTGAGACTATAATTTGGAATTCGGAATTTATATTTTTCATCGCCGGTACGGCACTATCTGTACAAAGTTAATTTCAAAAAAATAAAAATTCA